CGGCAGCACTGGGGCCTTCGGCGGAGCTCTTATGGGGCCACGAACGTGTGTGGGGTGTGCCGAATTGGGTGTGGGTGACGCATGCGGGCGGCAGCACTGGGGCCTTCGGCGGAGCTCCTATGGGGCCACGAAACGTGTGAGGGGTGTGCCGAATTGTGTGTGGGTGACGCATGCGGGCGGCAGCACTGGGGCCTTCGGCGGAGCTCCAATGGGGCCACGAAACGTGTGAGGGGTGTGCCGAATTGGGTGTGGGTGACGCATGCGGGCGGCAGCACTGGGGCCTTCGGCGGAGCTCCTACGAAATGGGGCCTTCGGCGGAGCTCCTATGGGGCCACGAAACGTGTGAGGGGTGTGCCGAATTGGGTGTGGGTGACGCATGCGGGCGGCATCACTGGGGCCTTCGGCGGAGCTCCATGGGGCCACGAAACTGGTGTGCCTTCGGCGGAGCTGGGGCCTTCGGCGGAATGGGGCCACGAAACGTGTGAGGGGTGTGCCGAATTGGGTGTGGGTGACGCATGCGGGCGGCAGCACTGGGGCCTTCGGCGGAGCTCCCTATGGGGCCACGAAACGTGTGAGGGGTGTGCCGAATTGGGTGTGCGTGACGCATGCGGGCGGCAGCACTGGGGCCTTCGGCGGAGCTCCCTATGGGGCCACGAAACGTGTGAGGGGTGTGCCGAATTGGGTGTGGGTGACGCATGCGGGGGGCAGCACTGGGGCCTTCGGCGGAGCTCCTATGGGGCCACGAAGCGTGTGAGGGGTGTGCCTGGTGACGCATGCGGGCGGCAGCACTGAGGCCTTCGGCGGAGCTCCTATGGGGCCACGAAACGTGTGAGGGGTGTGCCGAATTGGGTGTGGGTGACGCATGCGGGCGGCAGCACTGGGGCCTTCGGCGGAGCTCCTATGGGGCTACGGAACGCTGTACTGGGTGGGTGAAACGCAGGGAAGAGGGGGAGGAGGGAGGAGGAGGGGGAGGAGGAGAGGAGAGGAGGAGAGGAGAGGACAGGAGAGGAGGACGCGGGGACCGTCTCTTCAAAACGAGGACCCAACACCACAGGATGGTTGGGGAAAACACAGACACACAGACACAATTATTCGTCGATTCCCAGAAAATATGCGAAACTATGGGAAGTGGGGGGAAGACAGCAACCCAGAAAACATGGGAAAATATGGGGAATCTTTTTATTTGTGTGTATTTGTGTGTGTGTGTGTGTGTGTGTGTGTGTGTGTGTGTGTGTGTGTGTGTGTGTGTGTGTGTTTGTGGGCCCCTTCACTCGCGTGCTGACGAAATCAGGGCGTCGCATGTCTGGGACCGCTTCGCCGATCCCCGTCCCCGTTCGGCGACTGCAGAGTGTATGGTTAATTACGCCTGCGTGTGGTCTGCGATCGGCGCCGCTGGGACCTGGGGGGTCCATTATCGAGGTCCCCGCCCGCCAGAGTACCCTCCGGTGTGCCGGTTGCAAACCACACCCTGTGCAAACCACACCATTCGGAATCGCCGACTCGTCCACATCCCAGTTGGGGATCTGCCCCTCGAGCCCCACCACCCCACCATCGGAGGAGGAGGAGGAGGAGGAGGCGGAGGAGGCGGAGGAGGAGGAGGAGGAGGAGGAGGATCGGGATCGGGGAGGAGGAGGCCCAGCCTCCACCATCCCACCATCCCAGTGGGGGGTCTGCCCCTCGAGCCCCGAAGGGAGCCGCCTCTGACCCCATCCAGGGGGGGTAGATCGGCCAGTGGGGCCCAGGCCACGCCAGGGGGGTAGGGATCGGCCAGACGATGCTCAATAGCGTTGAGATCCGCGACGCTGGGGCCGTATTGAATCAGGCGATCGCAAACATGGATCAAGGGGGCGTGGATTAGCGGCGGGTCCCGTTTCCATGGGAAATCGTGGATTTCTGCCGACGACAACGAGGCGGCACTGGCCGCATTTTGGGGAGTGCACCTCCCCCGATCCATGGATTGGGTGACCGCGCGCCAAGTCCATGGACCGCCAATCCATGTTTGCGCGCCCCCGATTGAAGGAACAATGCATCGCAAGTCTCGGAGCAACGCAGCGTCTTTTTGTCGCGGCCCGTGGCGGTCGACGCACCCTGAGATCCTGGCGTCGCAACTCTTTCACGACGGGCGCTTTCAGTATCGTTTAACCGACCCCCATCCCTTATCCCCATCCCCTTCGAGACCCCCACCAGTTAGGGATACGCCCCTCGAAGCCCGAAGGGAGCGGTCCATCTCCCCGTCCAGGGGGGCACATCGGCCAGGGGGGCCCAGGCCACGCCCGTGAGGATAGAGCTCGGACAAGCGATGCTCAACAGTGCACTGCAAGTCCGGGAACGGCGAAGCGTTTTTTTTTTGTCGCGGCCCGTGGCGGGCGCGCACCCGGAGATCCCGGCGTCGCAGCCCTTTCACGACAGGCGCTCTCGCCTGGCCTCGGGCTCCAGGGCCCGCACGGAGCGAGCGGGCTCGAGAAAAGTACAGCAGAAAAGGTGGGGTATGGGGCTCCCGTCGTTTTTTTTGTTTTTTGTTTTTTTGTGTGTGATATTTTTTTTAAACATGAGTTTGCATTTTGTTGGTGGCGTCGAGTCGCAGGGGGACGCTGAGCCCCGTGTGGCAGGAGACGCTACCCCAAGGTTCTCTGCTGAGCCGGTTCGGCGTCTGATCCCGTTCGGCCGCCGAATGAGCTCAAGGTCGAGCTCACTCGGCCGCGGAATGGGCTCAATTTCGACGACCTTGTTGGAACTGACCCTGTCCGAGTGCTGACTCGGCTGCCGAACGGGCTCAGACGCCGAAGCGGCTCAGAAGGGAACCCTGGGGTAAATAGCTTTACACGGTTACGCGATGGGGGGGCCTCGCTGGGGCGCCACGATGGGGGCCACGATAGGGGGCCACGGAGGGCCCACATCCCTCACCACGCGTCAGAGAAGAGTTATCCAGAACCCTTACAGACAAGCTGTTTGGGGAACTTTTCCACCGTCGGGGACCGCAGGCGATTTCTCTCCCCCAGTCCCCGTTGTCCCCCAAAAAAATCAGGCTGCTCAGAAAAGAGGAGAACCTCAGGGATTCACTTCTGAAAGGCTATTCGGGCGCACCCCTGAAAGGCTATTCGGACGGCTATTTGGACGCCCCCATGGTACATCTCCGAGTTGGGCCTAACATGCTCGGCCCCGTCGGAAGTCCCACAACCAGTCGGGAACTGTGGTCGCTGCACGCCCGTCAGGGGACGCCTGACCCAGGACGGCCCGAAAGCTTGTGCCCCCGCGTGTCACAGTAGGGGCACATCAGCTTTCCAGCCGCCCCTGCGGAGGAGGAGGAGGAGGAGGAGGAGGAGGAGGCGGCGGAGGAGGAGGAGGAGGAGGAGCAGGAGCAGGAGCAGGAGCAGGAGCAGGAGGAGGAGGAGGAGGAGGAGGAGGAGGAGGAGGAGGAGGAGGAGGAGGAGGAGTTGAGAGCGTGCCACGAGACCGCCCTTCGCCCGCCGAGGAGCGCGGCCCCCTGGCCATGTGGGGCCTCGGCGACATCACGGGCGCTGCCGGGGGTGGCCCTGGCCCGGGCCCAGACCTCCGGAAGCTCGGTGACAATCATCTGTCGGGGGCTCCTCCTCCTCTACCTCCTCCTCCTCCTCCTCCTCCTCCTCCTCCTCCTCCCTCCTCCTCCTCCTGCTCCTCCTCCTTCTCCTCCTCCTCCTCCTCCTCCTCCTCCTCCTCCTCCTCCTCCTCCTCCTCCGCCCCCTGCCTGGGAGCATCGGGGAGGAGCTCTCAGGTCGCGAACCGCCCACCGGGGCTGCAGGAGCTGGAGGACGTCGGAGCTCAAGAGACGGGGGTCAATGCAAACGGGGATCAGCCAGGGCGCCAGATCCTGCAGGATCCTGCGAAGGCCCCCTCTGGCTGACCCGGGTCAGCGAGCCGCTCGTGGCCGCGAGGCGGCCGCGCATGTTGGCTGACCCGGGTTTGCGAAGACTTTGGTTGCAGTTTTTGTTTTCCTGCACTGCAGTTTTTGGTTTTCTTGCTGACCCGGGTCTGGATTGACCCGGGTCAGAAGATCCCCGAGTCTGGCGTCCTCTGGGTGGCAGCAAAGTTCGGATGCAACTCCCGTTTCATTCTGCTGAATCCCGCTTCACCCAGCTTAATCCCGCATATTCCCTCTGAATCCTGCTACTCCGCAGCCTCATCTGGCGTAGCAGCCCCCCAAGGGCGCCCAATCCTCACCGAATCTTTCCGGCGAAGACCTCCCACTATAGTGGCCTCCTGAGCGAGTCTTCGCGCGTTTTCTTTGTATGCCCCGCAGCCGGTTTCGGGTTCGGGTAGCTTTAAGTCGGGCGTGTCCCCCTACAGGGGGATTTTCGAGGAAAAATCAAAAAATACCCCAAAGACAGTAAGACAAAATAATCCAAAAATAGTTTGGGGATTATTTTTAGTATGTTTTGAAATTTTTGATGTATTTTTAAATATTGTTTTCATTTTTCGTTGAAAATCCCCCTGTAGGGGGACAGGCACGACTTCAGGGTAGCTGGACGAGGCGCTGGCCTCGGGGACCGGGTCGAGGCCTCGAGGCTCGAACACTTTTGAAGCTGTCGGAGGTCGGGGAGGCCGGCCCCAGCGCTGCCACGGGGAGGCCCCGATGGCCTCCAGAGGGCCCCCTCTCGCGGGGCCCCGCGTCGAGGAGGGCCAGAGGGCAAGAGCCAACAGCGAGCCGAGAGTCTTCAGCGATTCTTGGAAGAGCAAAGACCATATCTTGACAGGCAAGCAAATCCATAACCGTACAACTTTCGGAGCTCTGCGCGGATTCCTTGGATCGGCGCTGGGCCCCCCTGGCGGCGCCTCCGGCGCCGCCCCTTGCGCACCCCTCGCGCCAGGGAGGGGGGGTCCAGCGCCGATGCAAGAAGCCAGCGCGGCCCTCCGAAAGTTTGTCTCTATGCAATTCTTCCTGCGCCTCCAGAGGTCGCCAGGGGCCCCAGGACGGCTCGGAAGGCTGGGAGTGTAGACCCCGGGCCAGGGGCAAACCCGGGCAGCCCCCGCTCGTGCCTGTGTTCCAGCTCCAGGATCCGATCGCCAGGGTCGAGGCGAGTCCGCAGTCGCAGGCGCTGGAGTCGGGGCTTTGGTCGGGCGGGCTATATAGTACCCAGGACGAGGGTACAATGATGGGCCTGTTTTCCACCACCACCACCACCATGAGTTGGAGGGTGGAGGAGGAGGAGGAGGAGGAGGAGGAGGAGGAGGAGGAGGAGGAGGAGGAGGAGGAGCTAGTCGGAGGAGAAAGAGGGGGAGGAGGACCCCCTCCCCCCTCCAACTTCTGGTGGTGGTGGTGGTGGAGAACAGGCCCATCATACAAGTCCGTGCCAGAGGCTCGGCACGCTCTCGGAGAGCGTCCTCCGGAGCTCCCCGCGGAAGGCCCCGTGGCGCCGGAGGCGTCCTCCGGAGAGCCGCCGGCGCTGCGAGGGCCTCGAGGGGGTCCTCGCCCGATGCCTTCCTCGTGCCGGCGTCGTCCTGTGGGCACGGCGCCCTCGGAGGCCCGCCCGCGCGCGGGCCTCCGAGGGCCCCGTGCCCCTGCCGGTGGTGCCGGCTGCGGGCAGGCGCGGGCGGCCCGCGTGCACCGTGCCGCCTCTGGCGTCCCCCGAGGCGTCTTTCGGTCCTCGGCCCAGGGCTGGCACGGGGTGTGCAGTCGCGAGTCGAGCCTGTCCCTCTACGGGGGGAGTGCTCAAGACTTGTCAACAGATGGCCTGGGGACGATAGTTCGAACCTTTTTGGGGTATTTTTGGCGTCTTTTTTGGGGGTTACTCTATAGTCTTCGTGCAACATCCGCCTGGATGGTGGACGGGCACGACCCAAGAGTGTATCCTTGTTCGGGCCTCGGGGCCGACAAGCTGTGCACCCTGCCGCGCCGGAGCGGGGCCCGAAGGGGAGTCCAGACGTGGCGCGGTGCACGCGGGCGCCGTGCTCGCACGCGAGGCGCAGGGCACGCCGCGCGTGCACTTCTCGGTGGCGCCCTCGTACGCCGCGGGGTCCTGCAGCAGACCCGGACCTCCGACGCCGTGAGTCTGTGCCCTCGACAGTTTTTGGTGTGCCACGCCCTCCCCACCCCAGTCAGATTCCACCCCACGGGGCCCCGTTCAGCGTACAGGAACCACGCCCCAGGAAGGGAAATCATACGCACCAAACCCACCACCAGGACCCTTTGCCCAGTCCCCAGGGCCTTCGGGCACAGCATGCGCACTGGTTCGGGCGGAGCATATATAAACCTTGGGGCTCAAAGGGTGGCCTCCGGGGCCCCAGAGGTCGACCTTCTTCACCCCTCATTTTTATCCCCCCCCCTTGAGCGACGCCCAAGACGTTTTTTTTTGTTTTTTGTTTTTTTGTGTTTGCCCTGCAGTTGGTTGCCCCCCGGAGGCCTGGTGTGAGGGCCCGCCAGAGACCCCCGTCTGGCTGGCCCGGGAACGCAGGGGGCGGGGTCTGACCGACCCCCGCCGCGACCGACGCCTTCCGTGACGGCCCCCCCCTGGTGGCGCGCAGAGGGGGGTGCCGGTGGAGGCCCATGCCGAGGCACGCCCTGCTTGCCTCCAGGGTGCCCTGGGTTTTGCGTTGGCTTTGCTTGGGAGAGCGTGGCGCTCCCGCACCAGGATCAAGGAACGTCCCGGGGGGTCTCAGGGTGGGGGGCTTCTCCCGCGGAAGGCCTCTTGTGGACTGGCCTCCACTGCAGGGGGGCAGGGGGGGGAGGCTTTTTAGAAGGAGGCGGCGACTTGGGAGTCGCGGGCCTCGCCTGTAGACGCAGGGGCGGCGCCTTCCAAGAAGCAGCCCCTTGCTAAGAAGCCTCCCCCCTTTCCCCCCGAACTTCCTGTCGTTCTTGTCCTGCAGCCGTGCTTCGACGCCCCCCCCCGGGCCTGGCGCGGGCCCGCCAGAGGCCCACATGGCCGCCCGAGACACGAGGGGGCGGCTCGCCCGCCCCCCAGTCGGACCGACTCCTGTGAAGACCCCCATCGGGGCTCGCTTCGGCTCCTCCGAGGCGATTCGTTGCGATCTCGGTGGCTGCCGATCCCGTTCCGATTCGGCTTCGGCTGCCGATCTGGACCCCGATATCCTGCATGGAAGCAGACCGTCCTGCCGGTCTCCGCCGATCCGATTTCTCTCGACTCGGCTGCGGATTTCCGCCGATCCGAGTCATGCTGATCGCCGGTCCGACTTATCGATTCGACCATGAGCTCTCCTGCCCCCTTGTATCGCTCCGAGTCGCCGGCAGGCGGATAGAGGGGAGCCTCGAGGGCGAGGGGTCATCACGCAAAGGGCCCGTCACGGAAGGGCTCGGATGTCGGAACACGAGTTCGGACCCTGTCCCCCGCTCTTGTGTGGGGTGCACGTGGCATTTCTGTTCTCATTTGGGGCGGAGAAGGTCACCCCCGATGTGTCTCGAAGCCAGCCGTCGACAGGTTCCTTGGGCGGTGTAAGGAGCGGCAGTATTGTGGGGGGTCGTGTGGGGAATGTGCACAGGGGGGCTGCATGCCCCGGCTGGTTCCTTGTCTCAAGGGGGGGGCGGCGGTGGTATCCACGGCCAATCCACGATTGGAGTTCTCCACCAGCTTCCAGACCCTGGATTCCCTCTCCACTGGTTCCTCTCGGGGCAAGAAGAACGACTTAAACATAACAGCTCGCAGGTGCGCGCGGATTTCTCGGATCGGCGCTGGGCCCCCCTCCCTGGCGCGCGGAGCGCGCCAGGGGCGGCGCTGGATGCGCCGCCAGGGGGCCCCATCGCCGATCCGAGGAATCCGCGCGGGCCTCCGAGTTTGTATGTTTATGTCATTCGTCGTCCCCCTATCCTCATCCCTGGCCCCTGCCCTCACCGTGGCGCCTCCTCCCGACTCAGGGCACGTCGCGGCTCGTTCACGGCGCGAGGAGGTCCGGGGCGGCGCCTCCTCCGCGGCAGCCGCGAGCTCCTGCGACGTCTTCGGCGAGGGGGCGGCGGACCTGCCGCCGGGCGGCGCGGGGTCCCTGGACAGCAGCCCCGCGACGGGCAGGACGCCGGGGAGCCTGGTCATGAGCAGGTGTGGGCTGCGTGCTCCGGATCGGCGCCGGGGTTGCGGGGGGGCAGGGGGCGTGTGAGTGGGCGCCAGAGTGTGAGCCACGCGCAAAGGGGGGTTGGGGGAGGGGGGAGGGCTTCTCAGAAGCACCCCTGCTTCTTAGAGGGCGCGGGCCTTCTCTATAGATGTAAGGCTGGCGGCTTCTAAGAAGCAGCCTCCTCCTAAGACGCCGTCCCCCTCCTTGCATCCCCTTGTGCGCACCGCCAAGAGTGGGCGATAGCTGGCTTGGTCGAGCTCAGAAGTGGGTTTGGGTTGCAAAAGCTCCTTGAGCGGCTCACCGGGGGAAGAGATCTGGGCCGCGTGGACGGTGCCCACCTGGCAGAATTGCCAAAGCCATGTAAGCTATGCGGGGCAGTTGTGATCCACTCGCATGCTAGGTTCGCCCAGATAGAACCCATCTTGGCGTACACTCAGAGGTCTCCTATCCCCTCAGCAACCGCAGCGGTGGTCCGAGTACACGTAAGGTGTGACCCTTCGCCGCAGTGCCGCTTGGTGCGGGCCCGCGTTCCCGGACCCCCCGCGGCGTCTGACTTTGTCCAGGCTGGGGGTTCTCTTCCTCGATGGGCGGCCTCCGGGGGCCGCCGCCGAGCCGAGCCCCCAGAGGCCCTCGGACTTGAAGCCGGGGCGAGGAAGGACTTGCCGCGGGAGAGTGGTCGGTCACCAGCCTCGAAATTATCCCTATCCCTAAGATTGACACGCCAAACGGCGATGACAATCTGCCCTGAAAAGCTAAGGGAATCCCCGAGATTGGCATTGTGATGAGGCGATGCCCAGCTTAGGGATGGGGGTCTGTTCCAGGCTGGTAAGTCGGGGCCCTCTCTCGGGGCCGCGCATGGAAGCAAGCAGATCGTCGGGCGTCGGGGGATGGGTCCCCGACCCCTGGCTGCCATATGCGACAGCCGCGGCCTGCCCGCCCGGGTTTTTGGCCCGAGGCTGGCCTCCCTCGAGCCACGCACCAAGGGGGCACTTCTCTTTCGGGGGTGGACAGACCTTCTACCCTGACGCGTCGATTGAGGAATTGGCCGCTTTCGGTTCGCGAGAGGGCGTCGCGGCCGTCATTTTTGCGGGTCCAGGTCCGTCGGTCTAGGTCCCAGGCCGTTTTCACTAAGGGGAGGTTTCCTAAAGGGAGGTTTGTCCACGGCCGATTCTTGCCCAGGGTCACCTCCTGCGTGCGGCCGGGAGGTGGTCGAGCGGGAACTTCTCGCGGGCGCCCTCCCTCAAGGACCTCGCCGTCGCGGGGCGCCGGTCTCTGCTCGTCGCTTCTCGAGGCTCCTCTCGGCTCGGGGTGCCTTCAGCAGCTGCGCCTCGCCGGGTGCGCTGCAGGCGTGCCCGAGTCGTTCCGAGCGGCCGCCGCAGGCCCAAGGTATAGCAAGGAGAGCCCGACCTCCTCGCGGTGCGAGCCAAAGTTGCGGCGGTACGTCTCGGGGCCGGTTTCTGTCCCTGGGGTTCAGGCGGGCCTGTCCCTCTACAGGGGGAGTATGCAAAAAACAGTCAACAAATAGACTGGGAACGATTTGTGGGGCATGTTTTGATCACTTTCGATCATTGCTTACATCTTTGATCATTACTCGTGACCACTTGGCGGTGGGCAAAGCGAGTGGGCAAAGCGAGTGGCAACACACTCGAACCTTAGATGGACAAGGCTTGCGGCAGCGTGGGAACCGGAAGTCCACGACAATCGAATAGCACAGCGCAGACATGGGACGACAACGCAAGCGGTGGTGTGACGACGTATCACAGTTTATACAAATTACCACTGGGAGTATCACCAAACATTGGTTATATTCTGCTTGTGACCAGAAATTATGGGACAGCTGGGAAGACGCCTTCCTCCACCACATGCAATAACCGGGCTCCGGCCCACCCGCGCTGCTCCTAGGGGGCCCGCCGGCCGTCCGGCGGACTCAGCGCGCTTTTCTCTCTCTTCTCACTTTTGATCATTTTTGGACTACTTTTGTTTTTTGAGTATAGGGGGACTCCAAAATCCGCCTGTAGGGGGACGATGCTGATGATGACGATGATGATGATGATGATGATGATGATGATGATGATGATGATGCTGATGCTGATGCTGATGCTGATGCTGATGGTGATGCTGCTGATGATGATGATGATGATGATGATGATTATGATGATGATGCTGATGCTGCTGCTGCTGATGATGATGATGATATGGATGATGAGGATGCTGCAGATGATGGTGCTGATGGATGTTTGTGATGATGATGATGATGATGATGATGATGATGATGATGATGATGATGATGATGGTGACGATGATGCTGATGATGGGGAGAGGGAGGGGAGGCAGCGGGGGGAGAAGGAAGGAGGACGCGGGCGCTGTCTCTTCCAAACGATGACCCAACACCACAGGATGGCTGGGAAGCAGTCGGGGAACGATGCTTAAGCGCGTTTACTATTTTTTGTACTTTGTTTGATTACTTCTGGCTATTTGGATGATTTGTTTGCTACGTTGGGACTATTTTGGAGTATTTTGGGCTATATTGGACCATTTTTGAATACTATCTTTGAACACTTTTGGACTATTTTTAGAAAATTGTCCTCCAACATCCGCCTGTAGGAGGACACGCCCGACCTAACCCTGGGGGGCTTTGCCGGCCCCCCCCCCCATCTCGCCATCGAGAAACGGCCCTGGAACGAAAGACTGGTCGTTCCGGGGGAGGGGTCCCGACGTAAGTCGGGCCCGTCCCTCGACAGGAGGACTATTCAGAAAGGGGCAGTTTGTGGGGACAATTTGTTTCATCATGTTTGGGCATTCGGGGGGGATTTTTTGAGTGGGGTGATGACTAGGGGGGGGTGGATATCATGGCGGGGGCCATTATATTTCCCCAGACGTCATGGCGCCTCTTCTTGTTTCATTACGTCCCTCCCCCCTGCTGGGCCGCGAACATGCCGCCGGTCATGATTTGCACCCCCCCCTCTTGGACACCCCCCTCTTGGCCGCCCCCGACAGGAGGAAGATTCATAAAGAGGCAGAACATAGTCTGGGGACGATTTGTTTTACATGTTTGGGCATTCGGGGGGTATTTTTTGAGTGTTTGGTTTGTTTTTCGTCCGAGATCCGCCTGTAGGAGGACATGCCCGACCGAAGTGGAGATGTCCAGTGGTCCGCGCTGTGCAGGGGTCGCGTCGCTGGCGCGTTCCGTGGGCCACCAGGGGCAAGCCACGCGGGCGACACACAGACATGCACGGCACACGTGCGGCAGACTGCCCTGGACAGTTTTTGTTACGCGACTACGCTGAAGTCGGGCATGTACTCCAGATTTCGTAATAAAAGGGAGGGGGTCTGGACCCTCCAAGACAAGCCATTTCAGACCTCCCCCGTGGGAGAACCCTCCAAAACATCGTCCCCAGACCCCCCCAGGCCCTCCAAGATAACCTGGAAGAGGCCCCCCCCGAAATGAGACCCCCCTCTCTTTATTACGAAATCTGGAGTACCTCTACAGGAGGAATATCCAGAAATCGTAAAAACCTTATCCTGGCGAAGGACCCAACCATGTGCAGATGTGAGTGACGCAATGGTACATACCGTCCTCGGTGGAGCTCCCCACGGGGCCACGATCCGTGTGAGGGGTGCGCCGAAATGGGTGTGGAACTGCATGCGAACTTTGCCACTGGGGCCTTCGGTGGAGCTCCCACGAACCGTGTGAGAGGTGCGCCGAAATGGGGATGGAACTGCATGCGAACTTTGCCACTGGGGCCTTCGGTGGAGCTCCCTATGGGGCCACGAACCGTGTGAGGGGTGCGCCGAAATGGGGGTGGAACTGCATGCGAACTTTGCCACTGGGGCCTTCGGTGGGGCTCCCTAGGGGGCCACGAACCGTGTGAGGGGTGTGCCGAAATTGGGTGGAACTGCATGCGAACTTTGCCACTGGGGCCCTCGGTGGAGCTCTATATGGGGCCACGAACTGTGTGAGGTGTGCGCCAGAATGTGAGAGGAACTGCATGCGAACTTTGCCATTGAGGCCTGCAGCAGAGCTATCTATGGGGCCACGAACCGGAGCGGTGCGCCGAAATGGGTGTGGAACTGCATGCGAACTTTGCCGCTGGGGCCTTCGGTGGATCTCCCTATGGGGCCACGAACCGTGTGAGCGATGCGCCGAAATGGGGGTGAAACTGCATGCGAACTTTGCCGCTGGGGGGCCTTCGGTGGAGCTCCCCATGGGGCCACGAACCGTTGGAAAGGTGCGCCGAAACGGGGGTGGAACTGCATGCGAACTTTGGCACTGGCGCCCTCGGTGGAGGTCCCCATGTGGCCACGAACTGTGTGAGCGGTGCGCCGAAATGGGGGTGAAACTGCATGCGAACTTTGCCACTGGGGCCTTCGGTGGAGCTCCCTATGGGGCCACAAACCGTGTGAGCGGTGCGCCGAAATGGGGGTGAAACTGTATGCGAACTTTGCCGCTGGGGCCTTCGGTGGAGCTCCCTATGGGGCCACGAACCGTGTGAGGTGTGCGCCGAAATTGGGGTGGAACTGCATGCGATCTTTGCCACTTGGGCCTTCGGTGGAGCTCCCTATGGGGCCACGAACCGTGTGGGAGGCGCTGAAATGGGGGTGGAACTGCATGCGAACTTTGCCAGTTGGGCCTGCGGTTGAGCTCCCTATGGGGCCACGAACCGTGTGAGGTGTGTGTGTGTGTGCCGAAATAGAGACATGCAAGGGGCAGAGGCAAGGAGGTTGATGATGATGATGATGATGATGATGATGATGATGATGATGATGATGATGATGATGATGATGATGATGATGATAATGATGCTGATGAGGATGATCACGATGATGATGATGATGATGATGATGATGATGATGATGATGATGATGATGATGATGATGATGATGATGATGATGATGATGATGATGATGATGATGATGATGATGATGATGATGATGATGATGATGATGATGATGATGATGATGATGATGATGATGATGATGATGATGATGATGATGATGATGATGATGATGATGATGATGATGATGATGATGATGATGATGATGATGATGATGATGTGGATGATGTGGATGAAGAGAGTGCTGCAGATGATGATGCTGATGGATGATGGGGAGAGGGAGGGGAGGCAGCGGGAGGAGAAGGAAGGAGGACGCGGGCGCTGTCTCGTCAAAACGAGGGCCCAACACCACAGGATGGTTTGGAAATAGTCGGGGAACGAAGTTTTCAGAATTTTTAGTATTTTTGAATACTTTTGGAACTTGTGTTTTCCTCCAAAATCCGCCTGTAGGACACGTCCGACCTAAGACTACGTGATGGGGGGCCACGATGGGGGACCACGATGGACCGCCGACTTCGGGGGCCCGGCATCCGTCACGGGGCGCTCTTAGGAGATTGCGATAGAACCCTTGCAGGCAGGCTGCCCCAGGAGTCTTCGGAGGTCCGCGCCCTTCTCCTGGGTCGACACCCCCGGCGGCTCCCCTGGCGCCACCTCTGGCGCGCTCCGCGTGCGGGGGGAGGGGCGCGGGGAAGGGGGGTTCCAGCGCCGACACAGGAAGTCCGTGCGGACCCCCGATCGAGAGGCGTGCGCCTTGCCGCCGACTCCCAGAGGAAGCTACGGGTTGCTTCCGATTCCCGATTCCCTGAGCGTTGTTTGCCACTTCCCGCCGTGCTGCTTGCAGGTAGCTGTTGCTGATCTGATCTGTCCTCCTCTTCGTCCGCGTCTGCTGAGGAGCCTCTCGGGGGCCTCGCTGGCGGCTTCGTGGGAGCCTTCTGAAGGCTCCTGGGAGCTTCTGGTGCCCCTCTGGAGGCTTCTTGGGGGTATGTTGGGGGTACCGTGGCGTTTTTTATACATGCTCCGCGCGCGGACCATGTATCAAGCATACAGGGTTTATTAATACAAACAAGGATGAATGTATGCATTAATGCATTCATAAATGAACCATGTATTCAAATTCCGATATATTAAAAATCATATGTATTAGAACCTGCCCTGTAATGGGGGCCATCTTGTGGGGGAGGGCTCCTGGGGCTCCTGCGTGTTTTCCCCCTCCAGGGCCTTCGTGGGGCCTTCTTGGGGCCCTCGAGAAGGGCCTCTTGGGCAGTCCTGGGGGCCCCTGAGGCCGTCCTGGGGCCCCCATGGGGCCCCTCTTGGGGGGCCTCTTGGGGTCCTCTTGGGGCCCTCTTGGGCCATCATGTTACCAGCCTCGAACGTATCCCTATCCCTAAGATTGACACGCCAAAAGGCGAT